GGAGATGGAGGGGCAAAGGATAGAGGGAGGGAGGAAAGGGAAATGGAGGGATGGAAGAAAGGGGGAAGGAATTGATAGAGGGATGGAGATAGAAAGGAAAGGAGGGAGGGATGTGGGGTGAGAGATGGAAGGCCGGGACAATGGAAGGAGGGAAGGGGGGTGGTGCCGGTGCCATTCCCGGTGCCATTCCCCGTGCCATTCCCGGTGGCCCCAGACTGCCCCCCGGGCGAGGTATGGCTGGATCCCGGCCCCGCCTGCGAGCGCAGCTGCCAGGACCTTGCGGAGCCCCCCAGGACTTGCGGGGGGACCCCCGTGACCCTCGGATCCTCCGGGACCCCCCGCACCCTCKATACCTCCGGCGCCCCGGCGACCCCAGACACTCCCGCGACCCCCGACACTCCCGCGACCCCCGCGACCCTCGGGACCCCCGCGTCCCCKCCGCGCTGCGCCTGCGCCCCCGGCCGGTACCGGAACGGCTCCGGGCAGTGCGTGAGCGCGGAGGGCTGCGGGTGCCGGTACCGCGGGGCGCTGCGTGCGGTGAGCTGGGCGGGGGGCGCGGGGTGAGGGTCCCTGATCTCGTGTTTGGGGGTCCCTGACCTTGTTTGGGGGTCCCTGTTCCCCCCAGGCCGGCAGCGAGTGGCGGGAGCAGTGTGCGACCTGTCGCTGCTCCGAGGGACGCGTCACCTGTGCCACCTCCTGCCCCGCACTCACCTGCCCGGAGGTGGGGGGGCCCGGGGGCGGTCCGGGGGGAGGTGCGGGGGGTCCCTGCGGGCAGGGGCTGAGCCTGGGGGTCCCCGCAGGGCACGGAGCCGGTGCGGGAGCCCGGGAGCTGCTGCCCCGTGTGCCGGGACGAGTGGCCAGGTGAGACCCGGCACGGGGGGACCCTCAGGGGGGGCGGCCCCGGCAGCTCCCCCGCTCACGCCGGGCCCCCTCACCCTGCAGAGGAGCCCCCCGGGCCGTGCCGGCTCCTCACGGCGCTCCGGACCATCGCCAARGGCGCGTGTGTCCTGCGGGGCGTCCGTGTCACCTACTGCGCGGGGGGGTGCCGGTCCCGCACCGCCGTCAGCGCCCAGGTACGGGGGGGGCGAGGGGGCTGAGGGGGGTCCCCCGGTCCCCTGTGACCCCTCCGGTGTGTCCCCCCCACCAGGAGCCGTACGTGCGGTCGCTGTGCGAGTGCTGCAGTTACCGGCTGGACCCCGCCCGGCCCGTGCGCCCCCTGCTCCTGCCCTGCCCCCGCGGCCGCCCCCGGCCCGCGCTGCTGCCCCGCATCGCCGAGTGCCACTGCGAGCCCTGCCGAGGTGCGGAGGGGGCGAACCTGGGGGGTCCTGGCGGGAGAGAGGGGGTTCTGGGCGGGTACTGGGCGGGACACACAACCCCCGCACTGCTCAGAGCGCTGCCGGTTCGGGGGTTCTGGAAGGGGTCCCGGGGGGGCTTTGAGTGTCTGGGGGGGCTGCAGGGGGCTGGGGGAGCACGCCAGAACGCCCCGGGGGTGACTCCCCGAACCTCCTGTCCCGCAGGCGGGGACCTCACCCGGCGCTGAAGAGCCTCTCCGGAGACCCCCGCCCGCCTGTGTCGGCATCGAGGAGTTTATTACCAATAAAGGATCAATAATCGTTAAGGATCGATAATCGATAATTGATCAATAACCGATAACTCCCCTCGGGAAGCACTGGGGGAACCGGGGGACTCGGGGGGTCACTGGGAAACTGCGGGGGGAGCACTGGGACTCATTGGGGGCACCGGGAGAACTGAGGGTCTCCGGGACCGATGGCTGCAGTTCCCCCCGCCACCACACGAGGGCAGCCCACAGGGGCAGGCGAGTCTGAGCCCCTCCGGGAGGTGGGCACACGGCGAGGACACTGCGGGGGGACATTGGGGGGACATTGKGGGGACAYCTCGAGGGGACCCCGGSGCTGTTCCGGGCCCATCCCGGGGCCGATGGCGGCCACGTTCCCGCTCCCGCCCCGGAAAAGGCGCCGGCGCCGCGTGATGACTCAACGGAGCGGCCAATAGGGAGCGGCGGCGTCATTGCCGCGCGCCTCAGTGGCGGCCCGTGCGTGGGGCCGGGCCCGGAGAGGTCAGAGAGGGCCGGAATGGGATCGGGACCGGGAATGGGATCGGGACCGGGAATGGGATCGGGATCGGGAATGGGATCGGGATCGGGAATGGGATCGGGATCGGGAATGGGATCGGGACCGGGAATGGGAATGGGATCGGGACCGGGAATGGGATCGGGACCGGGAATGGGATCGGGACCGGGAATGGGATCGGGACCGGGAATGGGAATGGGATCGAGACCGGGAATGGGGTCGGGACGGGGAATGGGAATGGGATCGGGACCGGGAATGGGAATGGGATCGGGACCGGGAATGGGATCGGGACGGGGAATGGGAATGGGATCGGGACCGGGAATGGGAATGGGATCGGGACNGGGAATGGGAATGGGATCGGGACCGGGAATGGGAATGGGATCGGGACTGGGAATGGGATCGGGACTGGGAATGGGATCGGGATCGGGAATGGGATCGGGACCGGGAATGGGAACTGGAATGGGATCGGGACCGGGAATGGGAACTGGAATGGGATCGGGACCGGGAATGGGATCGGGATGGGGAATGGGATCGGGATCGGGAATGGGATCGGGATCGGGAATGGGAATGGGATCGGGACCGGGAATGGAAATGGGATCGGGACCGGGAATGGGACCTGGAATGGGATCGGGATCGGGAATGGGATCGGGACCAGGAATGGGATCGGGACCGGGACCGGGAATGGAAATGGGATCGGGACCGGGACCAGAACCAGAAGTGGGGAGGGCTCGGTCCGAGGAGCTGGGCATGGCCCGGGGAAAACCAGGCCCGAGGCATGGGGGGGCAATGGGACTGGGGATGGGGGGAAAGCTCGGAGAGGGCCAAGGCCCGGGATGGAGAAACGGAGCCGGACCCTGGTTGGGGGCTTTGGGGAGAGTCCCGGTGGTGGTCAGAACCCAGGGATGGAATGGCGGGAATGGGGCGAGGATGGAGAAGAAGGAATGGGGCGTGGGGCAGCGGTACCAGAACCGGGACAGAGTGAGCTCGGCCCGGGGACAATTCAGTACGTGGTGGGGGAATAAAGTGGGACCGGGACCGAGGTCTGGGAGGAAATATCTCGGTGAAGGGCTGTTCCAACATTGCCGTTCCCGCGCAGCGTTGCCGGGATGTGGCGCTGATCCCGGTGCCCCATGGCCGCGCACCTGGTTCGCCGCTGCTGCCGGCGGCTGCTGCTGCTGCCGGCCCCGAGCAGGGCTCCCCCGGGCCCCGCCCTGCGCACCTGCCCGCCCAGCTGGGCTGAGGGGCCACAGGCGCGGCCGCACGAAGACGGCGCGGAGCAGCAGCTCAGGGAGCTGATCCAGGGAGCGTCCAATGCCCAGGAGCTGCTGCAGGTGAGCGGAGGGCCGGCGCTGAACAGCAACCTGGCGGCACTGGCCATCGCCCGCCTCGCCCGCCTCACCTCCGAGCAGCGCCTGGACGCCAAGAGCATCCGCAGGGATCCGCGCTTCCAGCAGCTCCTGGACACCGTGGATGCGCAGGTGAGGGGGGATCGGGGCACTGGGGGGCTCCAGGTGTGCCTCACGCTGTAGCTGACTGTTCAGGACACACCTGCGAGGTGCTTTTTGGGGCAGGGTTGGAGGTACCTGGTTTACTCTGGTCTGTACCTGACCACTCAAGGCACATCTGTGGGACAGGGTGGCAGTGCCTGGGTCACTGCAGTGCAATCAGGGCACACTTAGGAGGTGGCACAGGCAGACAAACAGTGCCCCAAATCCTCACCTGCTGCCCCTGTCCCACATCTGTCTCACTCGTGTCCCTKTTCCCAGATTTCCCAGGTGTGGAACACGCCGCTGGTGCAGCTGCTGCGGAGCCTGCCGGTGCTGGGGCTGGAGCGGGGCGGGCGCCAGGCGCGCTCGGTGGAGCAGGAGGTGCTGTGGCGGCTGCGGCGCCTGCCCCTGCGGCAGCTGGTGCACCTGGCTGAGCACCTGGCGGGGCAGGGCCACGACAGCCTCCTGCTGCCCGAGGTGCTGCGCAAGCTGGAGCTGCGCTGGACTGAGCTGGACGGGACCCGCACTGTGGTGACGCTCATGGCCAAGGTGGGACACCTGTCCCCCACCCTCATGGAGCGCCTGGAGGACAAGGTGGGACCTGCATGCCTGGGCATGGTGCGGGCACAGGGCACATGTGACATGGTGTCACAGTGGGAGGGACCCAGGCCCTCAGCCTGGGCTGGGCAGAGACACGTGGGGATCGCAGTCCCTCCTGGGGTCACCTGTACCACCTGTCCCCTGTCCTCGCCCCCAGGCTCTGGAGCTGGCAGAGCCCCTGTTCCCTGTCTCACCTGTCCCCTGTCCCTGTCCCCAGGCCCTGGAGCTGGCAGAGCAGTTCGATGCCGATGAGCTGCGGCGGGTGGCGCTGGCACTGGCGCTGCAGCAGCGCCGCTGTGTGCCCCTGCTGCGGGCCCTGTCCTACCATCTGCTGCAGAAACCTGCGGAGCTGCCCCTGCCCGTGCTCACAGACCTGCTCTTTGCCTACAGTAAGTGCTGGGCTGCCTTTGTTCGGGGGGCACSTGGGCGGGATTGGGGACAAATCCACGGTTCAATGTCGCTGTCCTGGTGCTGGGAATTGCTGTGGCTGGCAGTGGGTATGGGGCCCAGGTGAGCTTTGCAGTCCCAAACCTTCCCATGGGTTGTTCTTGTTCAGCCAGCTGGGATGAGGGAATCGGGTGAGCCCCAGCAGTTCTTCCTTAGTGGGTTATCCCAGTCCTGGGGTTGGGAACAGGTGGGGGGAGCATTGTAGGTCACCTGTGCACTCCAAATATGAAACCCAGGTCATCTGGGAGGCTGTTCCAGCTGTCCTGTCACTCCAGGTGTACCAAGTCCCTCCCCAGCTCTTCTGGAGCCCYGTTAGGCACAGGATGACACCTTCCTGTCTCTAGCTGTCACCTGTGGTGTGGGGGACACAGGACAGAGGTGCTCAGAGCCCCCATGCCCTAAGCTGTCCCCCTTTGGCACAGGTAAGCTGAATTTCCAGCAGCCGCAGGTGCTGCACCGCCTGTCCCTGGAGCTGCAGCCTCACCTGRGCGCCCTGAGCCCGGCTCAGGTGTCACGCTGTGCCCGCTCCTTTGCCGGCCTGCGCTGGCTCAGCCAGCCCCTCGCTGAGGCCATCGCTCAGGTGAGGCCTGGGGGGACAAGGGGGGGCCTCACCTGTTTGTGGGGGGCAGGGGACACTCACCTGGCCAGGGGGGTATTGTCACCTTTTCCAGCAGGAACTGGGCAGAGTAGGTTCCCTCACCTGGGAGCAGGTGGCAGTAAGGGCCCCTCCCCTGCCCAGGCTCTGTCAGCATTTCCCAGTGGGAATTGGGGATCATTTTCTGCAGGATTTGGCTCGATACAGGGCCTCCAGCTCTGGGTGCTGGTGCCGTTCCATTCCCAGTTCTGTCCCATTTAATTCCCAGTTCATCTCCTTGCACTTCCCCATCCAGACTGGGATATTCCAGAGCTCCCCTTTGTACCTCGATAAGATCCCAGGGATCTATCAAGTGTGGTGTCTTACTTAGGACATCATCTCCGTTGATGCTTCCAACCTTTTCTTTGCTGCTCTTATCTCAGTTCCCTCCCAGTTCCTTCCCAGTTCATCTCCCTACTCTTTCCCATCCATACTGGGCTATTCCAGAGCTTCCCCTCGTACCTGGATAAAATCTCAGGATTYCCTCACTCTGATTTTCCCACCTGGCAGTTGTCCCTGGCTGATGTGTCCAACCTCTCCCTCCCATCCCTGTTCTGGACAGCCCCAAATTCCCGTTTTTCCTGCAGTATTCCCTGGATAACACGCAGAAGCTGTCCATCCCCCACCTGTGCGGGATCCTCGTGTCCTTCGCCCACCTCAACTTCCAGCCCAGCTCCAGCGAGGAATTCTTCTCAATGGTGACGTCCCTGGAATCTTGGAATTCCTGAGTGGGTGGGGAGGGACCTGAGAAACCCCCCACAGCCACAAATTCCTTCCCCAAATCCACCCAAATCCCCATTCTTCCATGTCCCGGTACTCCAGTTGTCCCAAATCCCTCCCAGCTCCTGCTTTCGGCACCGGGAGAGACCCCGAAACCCCCCCCAGGTGATCCCCCCAGCTGTGTCCTGTCCTGGCAGATTCCCATGGGAAAGGGAGTGTTGGATGGCTCGATCCTTGGAGCGAGGGGCCAGGGGATCACCTGAGAGGGACCCTCCAGCCTCCCCTGGGGACAGCRGGGACCATGTGGAGGCCTCTGCGGCCGATGGAGCTCAGCTCCATGTTTTGMTCATCCCAGATCCACGAGCGGCTGCAGGGGCAGGAGCAGCAGCTGGACACGCACCTGCTGACGGACGTGGTGTGGTCACTGTGCGTCCTGCAGCAGGCCCAGCCCCSACACCTGCGCCAGGTGCTGTCACCCGAGTTCCACACCCGCCTCCGAGGTGAGCCCCGGGCAGCGGGAGRGCCGAGCCCCGTGCTGGGATCGGGGATGGAATGGTGGAACGGGAGCTGCGGGAATACTGGGGGAGGTTACCTGCCCGACAGGTGCTGCAGCCCAGTCAAATTCGGTCCCTGTCCCCCCATGGCGGGGACCGGCCACCGGCTGCCACAGCAACCTCCGTGCCCACGTGCCCCGTGTCCCCTGCCGTGGGACCCGGGGGGTGAATCCCACTGGAGACATGGAATCTGGGAATGCCAAGGGCTGGAAGGGCTGCTCAGGTGCTGGAGTTCACATGTTCAGCGCACCTGGGGGCACAAACCGTGTCCCAGGTGTCACAGCAACACGGCTTGTAAACCCCTGGAGCTGGACAGCCTTTCCAGGAATATTCCCAAAATCCTACCTGAACATCCCCTGGCACCATCTAGGGCCATTCCTCCTGTCCCCTGGGTGTCACCTGAGTGTGTCACCACCTGTCTGCAGGTGACACCTCCCCGCGGGCACAGAGCTCGTGGCTGAAGCTGCTGCACATCAATGCCACGGCCTGCCTGGAGGCCCCGGGCTACGAGGGGCCCTTCCTGCCCCCTGAGGCACTTGGCGGGGACAGGGACAAGGAGAAGGACAAGGACAAGGCCACCCCTCTGCAGCGGGGACTGCGGGAGGCACTGCTGGGGGCACTGGGGGGCCAGAACGTCGCCCAGTTTGATGTGAGCACCGTGTATGGCTGGGACATYGGTGAGTGCCACCTGCTGCAACCTGCCCTCGCACCTGCCCAGGCGCCGCCCCCACCTCTTCCCTGTCACCCCCATTGCCTTCTCGTATCACTCCCAGYCCTGTCACCTTCACCTGTCACCCCCCAGCTGGATTGGTACTCAGGTACTCACAGCTGTGTCACCTTCCCYTGTCACCTTTCCTGGTCACCCTCCAGCCCTTGTCATGCCCCTGCCATTCCCCTGTCACCCCCCTGCAGCCCAGTCAAATTCGGTCCCTGTCCCCCAGTGTCRGGGACCGGCCATCGGCTGCCACAGCAACCTCCATGCTCCACGTGCCCCATGTCCCCTTCTGTGGGACCTGGGGAGATGGATCCCTGTGGACACATCCCCTGCCTAGGGTGGGGTCAGGGAGAGCCCGTTGGGTGGCTCTAAGTCCTCATGTCCCCTCTGTCCCCGCAGATGCTGAGGTGGTAATGGACAGTGACAACAAACCTCTGCCCGTGAGGGACTTCGCTGCCCCCCACTTGTCCCACTGCGAGGGGACAAAGCCACTGCCACCTGGGGCCAGGAGGTGTGTGGGGGTCCCCTGAGTGGAGGACAGGGAGGGAACAAAGCCACTGCCACCAGGGGCCAGAAGGGGGATGGGGTAACATGGGGGGACAGGGAGATGGTGAGGAGGAAGATGAGGGGTATGGGAGGGGAGGAAGATGGGAACAAGAGGGGATGAGGAGAGTGGGATATAAAGGGTCAGTGGGGAAGGGGGGAAGAGATGGCAGGAGGGTGACACGTAAAGAAACAGGAGGGGTCATGGGATAGGGACAGGAAGGGGACAAGAAGCGGATAGGATGGGAAGGAGGGTGGGAGGAGKGGCTGGGGCTGGGAGGCTCTGGGTGTTGCCCGTGCTCAGTCCCCTGTCCCCGTGTCCCCAGGGTGGCCGTGCTGCGCTGGGAGTTCCCGCAGTTCAGCTCGAGGGGCCGGGAGCTGCTGGGCCGGGGCTCCATGGCCCGCAGGCACCTGCGAGCGGCYGGCTTCCTGCTGGTGGAGGTGAGCGCCTGCCAGTGCCCAGGGGCACAGCAAACACGCCAGGGCCACCACTGAGCCCGCTCCCGAGTGACACATCCAGGCGGCACTTGAACTGTCCCAGCCCTTTCCAGGACAAATATTCCCAAAATCCCACCTGAACCTCCTTCTTGGGAGCAGAGCCCAATGTGGCCACCCTGGTGACACCAGCCAGGTGCCATTGTCCTCCCTGGCACACCTGGACACAGCTGGCTCTGTTGGGATGGAGGCACTGACACCTCTTGGGGGGCTGCCAGCTCCCCCCACCTCAGGGCTCAGCAGGGATGAGCCACCACGATCCCCCTGGGCCGCCTGCCAGGTGACGGGGGGGACGGGGTGACAAGGAGGTGACACAGACGAGCTGATCCCATGGGGTCATCCAAGATTAACCCCTAGGGATAATTATAGCCCAGGGGGGTGTGACAGCCACGTGTCACCCCCCGGGGTCACTGTTAGTCTCTGGTGTCACTGTCACACCTGGGTGGGGGTGGGACACYCCTGGGTGGGCACTGCGACCCCAGATTGGTGTTGAGACTCTCCCAGGTGGGTTCTGGGACACACGGGAGAGATGGGAGACCTTCCCAGGTGGGATTTGGGACCCTCCCAAGTGGGTGCTGTGGGACTGTTGAGGTCAGGACAGGAGGGGACACAGCTGGGACCCTCTGGGCMACTGTCACATCCCTGTCCCCCCACAGGTGCCCCACTACGAGTTCCTGGAGCTGAAGCTGGAGCGGCAGCGCGTAGCCTACCTGAAGGACAGGGTGGCCAAGGCCCTGGCCACTGACACGGCCACTGACACGGCCACCTAACCCATGTGGGTTTCTCACCTGACCCAGATGGCCATGGCCCCGTGCCAATGTGACCAGGTCACCACGCCGAGGTGGCCCAGTCGCTGAGCCCTGGTGGCCTCATCAGTACAGCAAGGTGGCCTTGTCAGCAGGCTGCTGTGCGCGGGTGGGCCGGTGACCACTGCAACGTCCCCATGTGTGGGGACCCCGTGTTCCTGTGGGGTTCCGGCATTACTGCTCTGTGTCACAAACAGCTGAAATAAATCCAAAACTGTACAGGGATGGTGGCTGGGGCATGGTGACATTGAGGATAAATGATGGTGGCTGGGGCATGGTGACATTGGGGATAAATGACACTGGGGACAGGTCATACTGGGGGCATGGGGAACAGATGACATGGGGATAAGTGGCATTGAGGGGGGACAGTTGCCATGAGTGCCAGGTGCAATTGGAGCTGGGTGACATCAGTGGCAGATGACATAAAGACCAGGTGATACCCAGGCTGGGTGTCAYAGGGGCTAGTTGGCATTTTGCCAGGTGACATTGGGTCTGAGTGACATTGGGGTGTGGTGACGCTGGGGCCAGGTGCCATCAGCTGCCATCAGGATTGGCAGTTGGCATCAGGGTTGAGTGACCTTGAGGCAGGATGATATTGGGGTCGGGTGACATTGGGGCCTGGTGACCTTGGAGCCTTGGAGGGACAGGTAACATCAGTACTTACTGACGGTGGAAATAGGTGACATTGTGGATGGGTGACAGTGGGGTCAAGTGCCATCAGTGCCAGGTGCCATCAGTGTATGTGGCACGTGGCTGTGCCCGCGCCCCTGTGTCCCCCACCCCCGTGCCGAGGGCCGCCGGTCTGAGCTGGGATCGGGATCAGGAGCCACCGGCCTTTATTCCCGATTATCCTGGGATTGTCCCCAGGGGGGGACAGGGACAGGGTCCGGCGCTGGGCTGGGGAGCAGCAGGAGTGGGGAGCAGGCATCAGGGACCCCCGCGGTTTGGGAGGTGTCTCTCACTGGGGGGTGGGGATCTGTTGCATCCTGGCCCGAGCCCTCCACAGTGTCTCCTGTGTCCCTCAGGCCACATGTCCCCACAGCAGAGGGGGGAGGGGGCACAAAAGGTGGCTCAGGACAAGCCTGGGGGTGACGCACAGGGGCTGGGAAGGGCTTTGGGGATGGATTAGTAGTGGCCACCTGGCTCCGGGACCCCGCCGGCCCCCCGGAGGGGAACACGGCCCCCGTTTGGAGAGGGGGGACACACGGTGACAGGGGGGACACGGCGGGGCCGGGAGCTGCTGAGTCACCGCTCGGGGCTGTGCCTGGCACCGGCGGCGCGGGCACGGCCTCAGTGCCAGCTCGGGGAGGGACAATGCCCGCCCTCATCCTGCACCCCCGATGCTCCAGGGACACGCGGGGGGAACACGCAGGTCCTTCCCCGCCCCCCCCCCGGTGTCACCACACCCGCGCAGACGGTTTTGGGGCGCTCTGCCCTGTGTTCACCCTCCCCAAATCCGTCCAGGACCGCGGGATGCTCATCCCCCTTTTAAAAGGGACCAAATTCTACCCCGGGAAGGGAAATTGAGGATGGGCCCCGCTCTGCACCCCCATCCCGGCGCTGATGGACACGCAGGGTCCCCCCACTCTGGTGTCACCACACACGCGGAGACATTTTTAGGGGGCTCCCCCTGTCCCACTCCAGATCACCCCCAGGACACCTCGGGACGCTCATTCCTTTTTTAAAGGACAAAATCCCACTCTGGGAGGGAAAAGTGAGGCCGGGCACCCCCTCCGCCGCCCCATCTCTGGTGTCACCAGACCCGCACAAAAGCTTTTTGGGAGGAGCTCCGCCCTGCGTACCCCTCCCCARTCCCCGCAGGATACTGCGGGATGCTCATCCCCCTTTTTTAAGGGACAAAGTGGGGGAAACTGAGGCCGGGCCCCGCCCTCGCGCCCCCCTCCCCGGAGCTGATGCAAGCGCTGGGTGGGCCCGAGCGCCCCCCGCCGCAGCGCCTGGCGCCCGCCCCGCGCCCTCCGGCACAAACCCTCTATCGCGACAGAGCCGGGGCCGG